TCACCTGAAGTTGACCTTTTGCCTCTTGCACATGCACAAATGCAAAACATGCACACACACACACACACACACACACACACACACACACACACAAACCGATCTTTATTCCCTTTGTTCCTATCCCAACAATTTTGTTTCTTCTATTTCAAGTTTATCTAGAGCTCATTCCCAAAATAGGAATGAGAGAACCTCACTTTGCCCTGCTTCGGTGATCTAGTTAGTTTCATTTCACATAAAGCATGCCATCTGTTTCTGTTAAGGAAGTTTTCATCCAAATTTGAAAGTTTTCTGCTATTATTTTTAATAAGAAGCTAATTAAATGGTATTGGTGATTCACTTACTACTATGATCATATTGGTGTTATTCATTTTAGTATTTTTGTAGAGCATTTTCATATTCATTTTTACTTATGAATAAAGCTCATATTGGCTCAATTATTCTAATCATGTAATCTACTGATGTCTGACAGATAATGAATTTTTGCACTTGCCTATGTGAATGAAATGGACCATATTTCTGAATGCTAATTATTACCCTTTCAGAGAATTAAATACAAGGTTTAGGTTTGGGGTTTTTTGCTATTAAATGGGAAGATTATCATTTTTAATGTTTTGGAATTATTTATGAGAAATTGGAATATTTATAGTTTAACAGGGGTCTTATAAAACCCCATTTCATTTCATACTTCCTACTGATAAATATTGACCAATTTTTAAATTTCTCTAAGAGTTGTTATTTACTTTAACTATGTTTTTACTAACTTGATAATTCATATTTTAGTTATCTATTTCACACGATTTTCCAAGTATATTTAGTAAAAATTGTATAAACTATGAAATTTAAATACATTATTAAGTGTAATTATATCTTTTCCCTGGTTTCTGACTGTGTTTTTTGTCCCTTATTTCTTTCTTCCTTTCTTTCTTTCTTTTATTATTCTTTTTTACTGCCAGTTTTTCTTTTTATTATAAATATTAATTTTGTGTTTTATTATACCTCTTAACAGATTTTGTTTTTAGTAGTTATTGCTTTTTTACTTTTTCTCTTGTCTTTAATTATTCTCAGTTTTGTAAGATGAATTAGTGGTTTATACAGTTGCATTACCTTTATTTACTAATAAGATTAATTTATAATCTTAACCTGACACCATGGAAACTTGAACCACTTCTCATAGGTTGAGTTCTCCTGTTCCCGTGAGAATATCTTCATCATTTGTTGTTAGTCCTGGGAAATGTGATTGTGTGTTTGGCTTCCACAGTCTACATTGTTTTAAAATTCTCTACAAAAAATTTAGAGTTGTTGATAATAAACTTTATCAAGTTAATTATAACAAACATATGAATTATCAAGGTACATGTTCAGTTGCATTCACTGGAGTCTGTGTTGTCTAGCATTTAAACATGACTTCATGGTCAGTTTTTGTGTGGAAACCTACAATTTCTCTATAGTTAGGTATCTAAATAAAATAAATTCAATTATAGAAGTGTATTTTAAATACATTGAGCGGCATCTTAGCAGCTTCTGCTTCTTCTCTGTTTTTTTTTTTTTTCTTTTGTTTTGCTTTAATTTCAGGACAGGGTTTTTCTATGTAACCACCCTCATTGTCCTAGAACCCACTCTGTAGACCAGGCTGGCCCTAAATTCAGACATCCGCTTGCTTAAGCCTTTGAGAGCTGGGTTTAAAGACACACACCATCATTGCCCTGAAGGTCTTATCCTGAAAGACAGTTGTTCTCAACTTTACTAATGCTGCAAACCTTTAATACAGTACCTCATGTTGTGGTGACCCCAGCCATAAAATTGCTTTTGTTGCTACTTCGAAACTGTAATTTTGCTATTGTAATGAGATTTAATGTAAAAATGTGTTTTCCTATGGTCTTGGGCAGCCCCTGTGTAAGGGATTTTCTATTACCAATTGCTTGAGACCAACAGGTCCAGAATAGCTGTTCTTGGAGTCTGGCATTTGGCCTGTGAAACTGAAGCTGTAACTTTACAATTAGTTACATTGTAAGCTTAGCCAAATTACTAAACTTCTGTATTTAGTCACCCATAAACTGGGCATAAGCAGAACCTTCCAGTTAAATTTTCTAAGAGGATCTTTGAGTTAATATTCAGAAGCACCTAAAAAAGTGCCTGACACATTGTAATCACGTAATAAGTGTGACAATTATTCCAAAGCATTGTTAGTGTTAATTAGAGTCTATAAGTATATCTGGTGTTTGACAAGGAGTCTGAAGATTCTGTGTGTGTTTGGATAGCAAAAGTATAAGCCGATAAGCTCTGTACAGTAATTGCCATCTTATTATTTTTATTACCTATCCCAACCTGTTCCTGATCTAGTTGACACATGCAGAGCCAGGCTTTCTATAATCCACACTCACTTGGCATCATTTCTCACCACTGTCAGGCTTGATAACTCATGGGGCAGGTTTAATTGACAGGGTTTTAGTATGAACTAGAGACAGCCTGTTCTGCAGGGTTGGTTTATTTTTGTTGAAAGAAGCTGGGTGTCTGACAATTATGTTTACCGGTGAATTTATTTCTCTGGTATACTCCTCACATTCCTAGGAGTAAGAAAATAGCTCCCTTATCCTCACAGTTTCTACATTCCCACAGGAGAACAAAAATTTTGTCTACAACATTAGATTTGTTTGCTAAACATAAGAGAACATAAATCCTCCCTGGGTCCCAGGAGGATGGCAGAGAAGGGGAGTGATCCTTACCAGCCACTTTGCTCTGTGTGTGCTGCATCATGTTGCCCTGAGAATGTGATGTTGGATTGGCTCATAAAACAGGCTTAGTAAATCCTTTAAATAGTGGTATGGGCAATTGTTCACCTTGAAAATTGATACCTGGGAGTGTATTATAAGGATTACTGTGTCTCCAGTATGGTCACTTGAGCATGTAGGAATGGCTTACTTTAAATTCCCCAGTCCTTTCACTATGATCTATGCCTTAGTTAGGGTTTCTTTTGCTGTGATGAAACACCATGACTAAAAAGCAAGATGGGGAGGAAAGGGCTTTTTAGACTTACACTTCAGCATTGCTGTTCATCACTGAAGGAAATCAGGACAGGAACTCAAACAGGGCAGGATCCTGGAAGAAGGAGCTGATGCAGAGGTCATGGAATGGAGCTGCTTATACCCATAAGCCATACTTTCCCATGGCTTGCTCAGCCTACATTTTTCCAGAACCCAGGACCAACATCCCAGGGATGGCACCACCTACCATGGGCTAGACCCTCCCCCATTGTTCACTAAATGAGAAAATATCTTACACCTGGATCTCATGATGGTGTTTCCTAAACTGAGTCTCCTCCCTCTGATGACTCTAGCTTGTATCAAGTTGACACAAAACCAGACAGTATAACCTACATGTACGCTTTTTCTCATTTGTTTCTCTCTTCCTCTCCTTCATGATGTTTTGACCTATAATAGTAAATATTTGTCAAACAGCTTCTCCTATTAATCCCATATTCTTTTCAAAGCATCTGGTGAGGGCAAACAAAGTAAGAAAAAGCAGTCAAGACAAACCCACAGAAACAGCTGACCTGAGCAAATGGGATCTCATGGCCTTCAGTCTGACAGCTGGAGAACCAACATAGGACCAAACCTGACCCCCTGAACCTGGGTGTCAGCTAGGAGGACTGGGCATTCTATGGGGTCTCTGGCAGTGGAACCAGGATGTATCCCTAGTGCACAAATGGACTTCGGGAGCCCATTCAACATGAAGGGATATTCTCTTAGTCTAGGTATAAGGGGGAGAGCCTCGCCCCGGCCCCAAATGACATGACAGATTTTATGATCCCTCATGGAAGGCATCACCCTCACTAGGGAGAGGATGGGGGATAGGATGGGGACTCGTGGGGGCATGGGAGGATGGGAGTGAGAGGGAACTGGGATTGATATGTAAAATAAGATTGTTTCTAGTTTAAAATTTATTTAAAAAAAGAAAATTGGGAGACCAAAAAAATACTGTGTAAATCATTAGAGAAAATAACTGGATTTAAATGCATTATGCTTTTCCATTTAAAAATATCTTTGTCTCTAAGATAATGTGGAAAAAATGATGCTAAAGAATGTTGTTACATAACTTAAGGGGAAAATTCATATCTATAGTTGTCCCATACACTGTCTTTTTATTAACATTTTTCTTTAAATCTAATACTATATAAAAGGTTGGTTTGGATTCTATCTAGTATATTTATAGTATGTTGTATTTTAAAATTGATCAATCATTTTTCAAACATGTCAGACTTCTCTCTCATTAAAAGTTTTGTAACTTTCTTTTATTTCCTCATAATTCAATACAGAGATCTCATCACTTACTTATATGTGCAATTGTTTAAAAAATGGTCTCTGTGTTAGCTAAAGCTTAGGATGTATTCCTCAGTGGCAGAGCATTTTCTTAGCAAGTATTAGATGCAATGTCCAGAAGCAAAAGAGATATCTGGAATAATAGCAAAGTGATTTTATAAGAAAATAATGTGTGCTAGTACCTAAATGCATATTATCAACTGCCCTAAAAACAAAAATAAGTAGTCAATAGTTTGCTTCTACTTGGAGTGTATTTACAGAATTCTCAGTATTCGTTTGACACTAAACTTTTCTAAATTAGTAACTGTTAGTAAAATTCTAAGCAAAATAATCTTCCCTAACATGGAAAATTGAACCATGATGATGGGAATTAAGATATGAACTAGAACTGCATAATTTATAGATTGAACGTCATATACTTTTGCTGTGTACAAAATATTTAAGTTTTAAATATCTCATCAACCTTGTATTTGTTAATAGCAAATCTGAAGGCTTTGAAAAAAGTCTCATATTTTTCCACCTGGGCCTTCACTTCTTGTTCTCTTTAACGTTTGCCTCTATGAGCTCTCCATTCAGGCATGCTTGGGAACAGCTCACTGATCTGCTCTATAGATGCACTGCACACATAAAATTTCCATTGCCTAGATAAGCAACGATGTCTCTGTCCCCTTTGCCTCCTCACAGGTATGATTTTGTGGAAGTTGAGGAGCCCAGTGATGGAAGTATTTTAGGATGCTGGTGTGGTTCTGGGACTGTGCCAGGAAAGCAGACCTCTAAAGGAAATCAAATCAGGATAAGATTCGTATCGGATGAATATTTTCCATCTGAGCCTGGATTCTGCATCCACTACAGTATTGTGATGCCAGTAAGTACAACTTTGAGATCATCTTTACTTGAATGAGTCAGCTATTATTTTATCTGAATTTCTCTTTTTAAAGATGAGAATCAGAAAAACAAACGTCAGACACCATTCTCTACCTTGGATTATTTTTACTGCAAAGGTCTCTTTGTAATTGTCACAATCAATCTAAGCATTTTCTATGGAGGTGATTAGAAATATTAAGTACCTTCATAATGTAGTAAAATGAAATATGTAATTTTTATAGTTCTAAGAAGATAGAACAAATGAAGCTCTGTTTTCAAACTCCAGAACTCACTTTTAAAAAGCCAAGCATGGCAGCTATTTCAGTTCTGGGGAGGGAGTAGAGAAAGGCATATGCCTGGGGCTCTCTGGACACCAATCTAGCCTAGGTGGTGTGCCCCTGCCAGTGAGAGATCCTGCCTCAAAAATTCAAGATCCTGCCATCTCACTTTGATTCATTACTTGAAATTTATTTACAAGGGATGTGTCCACACTGCGACTGAGGGGCTAGGTCAAGTTTGTGTCAATATTTTCATCGTGGAATTTATATTCAATGCATGTTTAAATGCCATTGAGTCTAATGAGCTATGCATGCACCTTTTATATTCTGTCTTCAGTTCCTCTAGCATCTCTCAACCAGGAGGCCCTGCTCTGGCCACTAAACTGACCTGAACTGGGCTGTCAGAGATAGAACTATGAGAGTAGTGAAAATGCTATAATTACTCTGATCATCTTTGAGGAAACAGTAGGCTATGGGTGAAAGAAAGGTTGGTTCCTACATTAACTAAGAAGTGTAATCTAGTGATATTAGAAAATTGCTTTTTTTTCTTCCAATTTCACAAACTTTGGTTCATTTGTGTTTATATTTACCTTGGTAGCTGATCTACCACTCTTTGCCCTAGCATTTTGGGTTCTTGTACCCCTCTCTCTCTCTTTACTTATAAACACATCTATTCCACTCTTAATAACAGTCTTCAGGATAGTGGGATTTGATGAGTGAAAATGTGACAGGTGATTATGCTTTTAAGTCTGGCAGAATGTTTTGAATTATCAGTGTATTGCTAAATGCAGCCCTCCCTCCCCTCAGACACACATGCACTAACACTGACCAGGAAAGGATTCATCTGTCTTAGCTGTGAATCAGATAATTGAAAGCCTAAAGGAAGAAAGCATACTTCTTGGAGAGCTGGTTTAAAGAATCTTATGGTATTTGCTCAGGGGCAATTGTCCCTGCATTATCCCTCATACATTTCTTTCCTTCTGTCATGGATGAACTTTTTTATTGACATCTCCACTTCCCCACAGGCAATGACGAGACTGAGTACAAAGTCATAGCTGCAAAGCAGGACCTGCTTCCCTGGCTTCCTAATTTTGTGATGATACAAATAGCATGAACCACAGTCCTTGGTAGATAATTAGCTGCCTGTCCTGATGTTTGCTGCATAGGCCTAGCTTAACACCATTTTCACTGCAGCTGTTCATCAAGATTTTCTGGAAATTCAACAATTCCCCCCTCCCCAGACTAGTCTAAGAACTGGGTGAGATTATTCTAATGTGTGTTACGTTTGTTATAAGCTGAAGGATAGAGAAGACACTTTAGAGAACTCAAGTTAAAAGAGTGATGTCATGTGTCCTCCAGATGCTCATGTGTTAGTCTATGACACCAGAGATACAGTTGGACTGTGGTGTAATTGCTGTCTGGATTCCCTTGTTCTAATAAGCAGAGGCCTGAATGGGGGCAGTCAATGATGATGTATCTACTACAGTCAATGAATGCAGTACACATTTTCCATTTTAAACCATTCTATTATTTATAAAAATATCCATATATTCAGTCTTATCTACTTTTGATTATCTAAATTGATATGAATATGATTGATATAAATTGTTATAAATATTTTACATGACCTGACACAGAAAACTTGAGTCAGTGAATCTTTTTTTAAATCTCAAATTACAGGGAAAAATGTGCTTTGAAGTGAGTTATATTTTAAAAGTAAGGAGCTCCAGCTGTAGTTTTATGTGTGAGAAGGAATGGACATCACGTTCTGGTGTGCCATGAACTTTCTGTCATTCTGATTACTATGTCATAGAAGAAAATTATGGCAACATTGATTTTCTCACAAGTACTTTTTTTTTTTTTGCTCACACGTACCCATTAAGTAATTGTGTCTACTGTTGTAAACTGATTTACCAAGGGGTGCTGGATTATTTTGAGTAAGGCAAGTTGAGTGAGCATTTCATGATTTATAAATATCATTGTCTTTATTATATTGCTGAAATGTTGGAACACATTTTTAAATTCCCAAATATCTTGGAATAAGACAAATTTAATGGGTCTTTCTATTTTTCTATGTTAAGTTGGTGTCATTAGCTGGGGTTCGTTTTGAAACTGCCACTGAGAGATGTTGATGTAATGTCATAATGACTTATAGCTTTGAAAAATATGATAAATATGATATTGGTTTACATATTTGACATTTAATGCTATATCAGATAAAATATTATGGTAATATGATTCCCTAGTCATGTATCATTGATAAATAGTGAAAGGTAAATCTGTGTAAATTTTATAGTAAATGATGTATTAGGTTTTATGATTGTTCACAAGAAGTTGATAATGTCATTGGTATTTTTTCTTCTTTATAATGAGAGGGTAGGGAGAGGAAGAGAGGGGAGGGTAGAGTTCTCGCACACATACTCTGGTAGATTAGTAATGAGAGATTGTTTAAGAAAAACTGAAAACATTGGGAGCTTGTATCCCTTCGAACGCCACACACAGTGAAAGTCTGAACATCCTTCAGATTTCTTAGAAAGAAAAGTGCTTATTTAATGTTGGAGTAATTTGTATTGGGTTATATACTCTGTAGTGTAGCACCAACACCACCATGTAAAATGGTAGGAAACACACAAAGACTGAACAGAACAACTTTTCATCCAGTATCAAAATATCTGATTACTAGTTTTATTTCTCATTTTTGTTAGGAAACTGTTTCAAAAAAGTATCTGAGTTTTTACGTAAAAATGTGCAAATTTAAGTCTGAACCTTTTCAGGGGTTTTCCTTTTCCTAATATGTAGAATGATTTTTATTGAGTATAATGCTGTGTATAAAATGTTGTTTTCAATGTTTATGAAATGTGAGGACTTTATCTTTCTCCTTCCAACAGGGTGAACATTTTGAATAATTATTGTACTCATTAAATTTTCTTAGTTTTATTGAATCTCACTTTTAACTGTTTGAGGCCACTAAGAAGTAATAAGATAATACTTCTAGCAGTTTATTTACTATTTAACATTTGATGGGTATTGAGCTATATTAGAGAACTAGATACTATAGCTTCCATACCATTTGACTCCCATGTGTTGTTCCCATTTTATTGATTGCTGGGGCATGTCGATGGGAATTAGGGAGAAAATGAACAGGGCATACCACTTACATACACTTCAGACCATCTACCCTTAAGATTCTACCAAATTCGTCTTAATTTAAAAAAAAATGTTTTACTTCTTTCCAAGTATGTGTATTGAGCAACATCTGCTTGAATATAGATCTTTCTGTTTTTTTTTTTAGTAGAATTATACAAAAAGAAACAAACTAATGCAACTCCTGTTACATTAAAAAAGCAAAACCATGCAATGCTGTCTAGGCGAGTTCAGCCCAGGTTCTGTGCTTTAACTGCATCAGAACCCAGTTGAATTTTGTCACACTGACTTTTTAAATGTCTTGTCCTGAGTGAAATCAATGTGCAGCCATTGTGGTGGTTTCTTCTGTGGGGAGGGGTTAGAAGGACACTTGGTGCCTGAGGTGCCCTTGAGGAATGCATGGCTGATTGCCAAGACAGTTATTAATTATTCAGACAGAGAACAAAGCAGTTCAGTGGATACTGGAAGTGGGGAGAGAAAAGGAGGGAGGCTATTGCCTCTTCCTTCTGGCTGTTCCAGTAGATATTTCATGTCAGTGCTCCGAAGAAAGAAGTCTCTAGTCTGAGAACAAATTCATTGTTTTGATTAGGTGAAGAAATATTCCAGTTGGCTCAGAAGGAAACCTTCAAATTCAGTTTCCACTCTTTTACTTAGAAAAAAAGCAGCCTGCTCTTTGGAGTGGTATCCACACACAGATGCTATGGGGCAGCCCTTGGTGACAGAATATGGTCAATTTTCTCCAAAATGTTAAATCATAATAATTATTGGCTCACACTCCCACGTTGCCCTATTAAACTAGAACTTGTTTTCAAAACAATTTCTTATTTACACAGATAAAGAACAAATAAAATAGTGATGAACTGAAAGGTTGTGGTAGGTTTGAGAACTTGAGAGGCATTGCAAACAACAGATATCAACCATCCTCGGAAACACCTGTCAAATGACTAGAGTCTTATTAAAATACACAAGACTTTGGTGTATTTAGGAAAGGAGTCGTGAGAGGTCAGTATTTCACTGCATGAGGGATATTTTATAATTGTTGCAGATTCTAAACTTGGCTAAAAAGTGTGTGTGTGTGTGTGTGTGTGTGTGTGTGTGTGTGTGTGTGTGTGTGTGTGTGTGTGTGTATACAAGCACATGCATGAGTCCTGCATGCCCTGCATGTAAAGACCAAAGTACAGTCTCAGGTGTGTCTCCTCAGTAATGACACCCCCTTTTCCCTGAAGTAGTTTCTCATCAACCCAGAACTTGCCAGCCAGAGAGCCCCAGTGATTTGCCTCTTCACTTCTCCAGGAGTAGTAGTCAAGGCAAGCCACTGTACTCAGTGGAATATTTTGCTTTGTTTTTGTTGATGATGTTTCTGGGAATAGAACTCAGGTCCTTATTGAAAGACAAACACTTAACCCATTTTCCTAACTCTTTCACCTCACATGAATTATTTCAATAAACTTTGTTGAATAAATTATTTTGAGAAAATTTAAATATGTATGGTAACATTTCCCCAAATCTCTAGTATTTTGCTTCTATCTTGCATTAAAGAAAAATTATATATCTATCTAAGTATATAATTGGTCATGTG